GCCCAAAGAGAGGCCTCTCACTTGTTGAGTTTCAAGTATGACATGCCTAAAAAGCTATAAGAAAGGGAACATAGATCAATCACTAAATAATTCCCCCCCCAAAAAAACAAAAAACCTCATGTATTATTTTGTTCTATTGACAAGAGCTATTGATTATCTTTCTCAATACCAACTATTATGCACAATCTAACTGCCAATAGGAGAAAAGGTCTGATGTGCCACCTTTTCCATCTTTAAAGTTACAAGAATACTTCTTTCTGGTTAAAATAAAACCTTTTCATGTATCAAACCCACCCTACTACCCAAAAGGCCACCACAGAATTCCTTAAGTGAATTCATATAATAAGATGGTTGTCATTCTAATCATATCAGATGGGCCATAAGAAAATCTATTGACAATTTAAAAAAACAAAACTTATTGACAACTCACTAGAACTCTTCCCTTTAAATAAGTTTAGTGGTCAAAACACACATAGAAAGAACCCAAACAGAGTTCCTTGTGCTGAAATCTGAATTTTAAAGACAGCATTTCATATATTTTCTCAAGTTTTTCATTTTGTGTATTTATATACAGGTCACATAAAGTACACATTTTCAAAGGGTTTTGTTGGCAACTGTCATATTTTAAGTGGAATCAAAATGAGATTTGGTTTTACACAGCTATAAAATATTTCTTGACTTTTGTTAAGCATGCTTAATTGTAATTAAATTTTTCATTTGGGTGAAATATCAAAAACAGTTCAGGATTCTGCTGATGACCAGGAAATTGGAAACACCTAGAAACAAGTGAAAACAACTTACCTATTTTCATTTTCAAAGAGAAATGAAATACAAAGTAGTGCAAAATGATGAAAACAAATTGGAAATCTTTTAGGCAACTTTACAGACTTTGCGCTGAGACTGACAGTTTTTACACTGGCAATATTATGCATAACCACAACTGCCTGCAGAAAGCCGGCTTCCATTCATTTCTTTGCACAACACTAGAGGAAGCCTTGGAAAGACTTTGGCTTAGTCATTTAAATCAATAATAAACATCAGCTCAGCTCAGAAATACATTTATTTTTAAATATATAATTGTTAAACTGAAGGGCCATTTAAGAAGGTCATATGCCTACTAAAAAAAATTATAGTTTCAAACTATAGCATAATTTTAAATGACTCACTATAAAATTTGGATATTAAACTATATTTCAGTGCCAACTCTATCAATAAGTTATAATAAAAGAAATACTACAATTGTTAACATAATTGATATATTTGATTTTTAAAAATTTTATCTTCCAGGTAGAAATTATGAATTCCTTTCACTAAGACATTTTATAGCAATAATGTAAGATATTTGTCTAAAATTAAATAGATCTGAAAGAGGGCTATCAAAATGTACACATTCCACTGGAACTAAAATAATACTGTATAATTTTTATGATAAATGTTTGTTATACTAATTCAAAATCAGGAAATTGTTTCTAAAAGTTAACTAAAATATAAAGCATCATTGGCTTAGGCGAAGCAGAAAGCCAAATACCATCAGCTGATCCTGCAAAAGGGCATAAGATCTTTTGGAAAATATAATAAATGTTAACATACTCCTCACCATAGAAGCGATTAGAAATTCTGTACTTTTAAAGCATTACAATGAATAACTGAAGAAAAAAAAAAGCTGACAAAGATATGTGAGCTGAATCTGCTAAGTCATACTTCAGATGTTACCAAGAGCCTCATATGAATGTAGTTAATTTGTTGCCATGCTTACGACTGTTGAAAGAAATATAAAAAGATACCTCAAGTTGCAATTTAGTGATAGCCACTTCACCTGGATTTAGAAGTGTATTTGCTCTTTAGACAAGGTGAGGTGGAGGGAGTGAAATGGTAAGTAGCTAAGAGAGGAAGAATTGACTTCAAGAGCTAAAAACATCAAAGAACTCAGGTTGTAATAGGATCCTAATACTTACAGTAGACATCATACAGACATCTGCTTTTGAAAACTGGTTTTAAAATTGTTAGGAATTTGGGAATATCTGATATTTTCCCTTGGAATAATGAAGCCCCATTAGCTTTGGTTCACTTTGAATGAGCCCAATAATGCCAATTCCATAATCCTTCGGTTTTAAATTGTTCCATAACATGCTACCTATACATAAGTAGACCAAATGAACTTAATGCATCATCCTAAGACCCAGAAAGATGGAAGACCATCACTTCCCACAGAACAAATGAAGTAATCCTTTCACTTTCCAGAAACATCCCTAGCGCTGTCATTCACCATCCTTAGCAAATAACTCAATTCAAGCACCCATCTTAGCACCTCTTATTACATCCAATCCTCCCTACTTTTAATCCATTTTTCCTTATATCACTCACATCCCCTTTCACAAATTCCCTGAACAGCATTCCAATTTCCAAACCATTAACAACAGCTTCAATGACCTTTCTAACGTATACATACGTTTTACTATATTTTAATTCACAAATTTCTCAGCATAAGACTTCAATATCTTTTTAACTAAAATATAAAATTCCAGGAAAAAAAAAAAGTCAGATAAGAATGCTGAGCTTAAACTGCATAGCATATGGCTTCTTCTTGACCATTATATTGGCTATGCTGTGGGAACAAGGGTCAACAATCTCTTTAGAACCAAGTTCCTCTAACAGTGGCAAGTATGGATGTCACTGAGAGGTGGAAGGCCTAAGAAGGGGAAAAGAATTCGAAGTACCAAGTGGCAGAATAGAATATAAAGAAGGGAAAGCAAAGGAGAAAAAAAAATGTCAGATGAATATGGTGTAAAGTAGTCGAGTTCCACAGGAATCAGTGGCTTCTAACTTCTGCTCTCAGGCATTCTGGTGCCAACCACCAGACCAGTTAGTTATGATCACTGCTTGAAATAGTCAGGAGAGATGCCAATCAAATTATCCCCTACTAAAGAAGGGGAGAAGGATATCATAAGGATATATTTGCTCCATCTTGTTTGACTCATCATGTAGCATCCTGAATGTAACTGATGTTCAACAATAAGCATTTAAGTGCCTACTATGCACAAAACACTTTGCCAGGGGCTACGTTAACAAGTATATTTCTACATATTCCTGTGGAGATCACATAATTGCCTGATAATATCCTTAATGGCAGAACTTTATGGTCCCCTGAAACATCAAGGCAAGCCAAATCAAGAATGTAATCATGATTTACTACTGCTTTTTATTTTTTTTAACCGAGATAAATTCTAGCATATGAAATGCTGGTAAAATTTACCTTACTATATAGGAGGTTACTAATGTATATCAAAACAAAGAGAATATGGACATGAAAACCATTTTAAACTCCTAAATTTCAAATGGTACAACATTCCAATCATTAGGAAGTAATTTTATTCTACGGAATACAAAGAAAAAAAGTATACACTAAATAATATGGACACCATCAATAATCTGTATTTCCACATATTAAGGAAGAACTCTTTTGACATAGTACCTGCCCTGTACTCAACATTCCTAAAGAGACATAGTCACTTAGGCCACCATCTATTCAATACCAAAACTTACTAATTTGTCTCAAACTGTTGGCTTAGTAATCAACTGGTGTTTTCACTTTTCAACTGACTTCTCTTGGTATTATGTAGGCATTGCTTCATTTATATTAATATTGTGGGAAGGTCTGATGTTCATCCTATTCTTTATAATTAGGATAACATCTTCTAAAGTGATGACAATGTAAGACTTATGGTCAAAAAAGGACTTTTTTCATGACAGAGGACTTAAACTTAGGGACGTTTTAGGATCTAACAGGTTCTCAAATAGTAAAATTAGATTTTACACACACACACACACACACACACACACACACACACACACACACACACACA